CAGAGGTTGAAGATGAAGTGTGGTGGGCTGAGCTTGGTCCTGGCTCACTATTGACACCCCCTTTTACTTTTTGCACCCCCTGGCCCATTTCTTCATACTTTTGTATTTTTCCATTTTATTTTCATTTCTGATTTTGTTTTCTTATTTTATAAATATTAAAATACCCAAAAAAATATTTTTATAATTTTTTACATTTATTTTATATTTTATTTCTTTCTAACATGAAAAATAATTTAATTAGTATATATGTTATTTATTGAAAACTTAAAAATGATATATAAATTATACTTTTATTTTATTTTTTTATTTTTTTTACATTAAAAAAATATTGTTTTAAATATATTTTAGTCTTGCAAATATTTTATTTTTATTGTACATATTTAATATAATTAATAATATATACATACTTTTATTTTATAAATACTTTAGAATAAAAACATAAAAACATTATACTTTTATTTTTATTATTATTTATACTTAAACAATACTTTTTCTAAATATATTTTATTTTTTGTATATACACTATTTTATTTTATTGTGTATAAATAATATAATTAATACATTTATTCTCTTAAAGAAAAATTAGGATTTACCCTTAACCAAAATAATAATCTTTTTTTTATTATTCCTTTCTTTTATTTAAATATTTTTTACATACATAAAAAAAAACAAAAACCTTTTTTTGCATATTCATATTATTTTGTATATTTATTTAATTTTCTTATTTAAATATTGTTCATTTATTATTTATGCCATTTGATTCAATTTGGATGTAATAGTAAAAGTAGGGCTTTAATTTCTCGTCAAGTAATCCCCATTCAAAAATTGTATCCCCCTCCCCATAATCATGTTGTAATAGTGGTAGATTCATTTTACGCATTTTACACTTTCAATTATGCCATGATTAGAGATTAGGGTTTGTATGCAAAAATCCAAAATTAACAAGTAGCTTGACCTAATGCAAAGACAAAAATGCATGAAAATCAATACACAATGCACACTTGCACCCCTAGGGTTATATCCACTTGTTGCCTTAAAAATTGGCCATGTTATGCATGTTGGGTACTTTGGCAAAACAAAAACAAAACAAAAGATTATAGTCCCTCGATGACGCTATCTTGGTTGCCTAAACAAAATGATCTAGTCCCTCGGAAAATTTGCCAAAAATACTTAACACAATTGCTATCATGGTCTATACAATGACCCGCACCTGTCCCGTTTAACATCCTAATACAAGGTTGTTTACCAAATGCAATGGTAAAACAACACTATCAAAAGGGTTAAAAAACATATAGGAAAGATCTTTGAGTAAAATAGGGTAGACGACTCTTAGTTACTTGATCCAAACTTGCAAAACATCCTTGCTATTTCCAAACACACTTCACAACACAATTTCAAAAAAACATTTCCCAAATCAAACTTTCAAATCTTTTCAAAAGACAAAACACCCTTGTATACATTCAAACAAGAATCATTACAAAGGTTGCCGCAACGATGGCCTCTTTTCAAAACATCTTTAAAAACCACACACAAAGCACCATTTCAAACAATTGAAAAGCAAAAGCAAGTGATCTAAACAAGTAACTAAGAGCCCATGGATAACCATGGATGAAAAGGGTGCCCGCACCTTCCCTTTTCATAATCTACTCCCCGAACCCAAGAAAACATCTCAAAGGTCTTTCCTATGCTTTTTGACCTTTCCTTAGGATAAAATAAAAAGTCGGTGGTGACTCTTGCTAAACCGAAACATTTGCGAACACAAACGCAAAACCTCAAGTCAGTTCGTCCCCCGTATCACATAGACCGTAAGGAGTTGTATAAGAGTGTTGGTAAACCTGGGAAAAGAAGTTATTTGTTGTATGATCCACCAGGGTGTGGTAAATCAAGCTTGATTGGTGCTAGTTTTCATGGTTGCATGTTCCATGGAAAAGCACTGTATGTTTCTTTTGTACAGAGGAAATGTTATGGATTCTGGTGGATTATACTTCTACCTACATACACTAAGTCTACAGAAGACAATTCCTTGGATGATAATGCTGCATGTCAAGAGGGTATGCTCTTGATTATGAATGTATGCCTTTTAGAAGAATTTGACATGTTTCCAACTCTACTATGTGTTGAAGGATGCAACATGGTTGATCAAAAAATGGGTGTTTATGGATATCCTATAGAGATTCAAGCACTTTTCTTTATGACATTGAGATGTGCTTTGTCAATGCTTAAGCAAGATATTGCTGATGGAAAGAAGTGTGTATAACATCTTGTAAATCAAGCTAGGAAATGTCAAACTTTGTATGCAATTGGATACTCAGTAGCTAGGATAATATGGGACGATGTTGGATGATCCTTTCAAGTCTTTAAAGACAAGCTCAAAGTTGCACCTTGCTCCAATTATGATCTTGAGGGGGGATATTATATATATATATATATATATATATATATATATATATATATATATATATATATATATATATATATATATATATATATATATATATATATATATATATATATATATATATATATATATATATATATATATATATATATAGAAGTAGTAAATGTATAGGATATAGTTATTTGTGAATGTAGAAAAGTTAGTTAGAATATCTAACTAACTTCATCCCTAAGTAACTAACTTGTGGTAGCATGCATGAGATCTATATATAGCATGTGCATGCTTTGTATTTAATTGATGAATCATAATAAAATATCAAGGAGACCTTGAGTTCTCTCTCTATCCTTCTCTCTCATTTTCTCTTAGTCACTATGATTCATTCATCTTCATCATGTATAATCATGTTCATCAATGAAATGTGAGTTCTCAAACTCTAATAGCAGGCCTTCATAAACAATATCAACTTTATAGAAATCAACATACAAAGATGGCTTTTCAATTACTGCTTCTGCACAAAAGGATGCATGGTTATTTTAACTTACAATATGGTTTCTCAACCATTATACGATTTTCAACCAACAACTTCAAAAAAAAAGTTTGGTTCTCCCATGTCAAAATTCTACTCGACGATTTCAACTCGGAGTTAGTTGGATTCATATTTGAACCAGAAATATTTGTCGAGTTACTATATATATCCCAATGTTAGGGGCTGCAAAAAGAAGTTAAGACAATATGTTACTATAAATTAACACCGAGACATTGAAAATTACTACAGTTGATTCCTACTTGAACCGAAAAACATTGTCAAATTACTATTTATATCCTAATGTTAGGGGCTGCAAAAAAAAAAGAAGTCAAGTAAACATCGAGACACTGAAAATTACAATAGTTGATTCATGAAATTCACCTTCTTAAAATTCATTTTTGATGAACTTCTTCCTATTTTAACAAATTACAATAAGACCTTAATCAGAAGATGGTAGAAGTAACGTAAAAAGGAAAAAATAAGATTGAACCAAAAGATTAAGAGATACAGTGTAAACAAATAATACTATCTTATAAAGTAATCCCTCACATCAGAAACATGAACGGTTAAATTTGGTGTAGATGTCAAACACAAAATGTTGAATTGAGACATTGCTTGGATGATGTTTTATAAAGTAAGGAGGTGAATAAGCAATGCCAATGACATGTGCAAGACGAGAAAAGTTAAAATCAATTCTTGAAAAAGAAATAGATATAGTTTATAACTTCAAACAAAATATGTAAAGAACCAACACTAAAGGAGGAAAAAAAACAAAGTCATACTTTAACTTCCATTAGATCCAAAATCTCATTAGAAATATCATAAATAAAAAATTCAAAAAGAAATACTTATGAATAAAACCAATCAAGGTAAAGTTTTATCACAATTCTAAACTTCTCATTGAATAAATTGACATAAAGATTTTCATTTCTTGAATTGTTTCCCAATAGTGGAACATAGTATTTTCTACAGAACCCGAACCTAGTGCAGGATCTATAGGAAACGACTTACCCATCACCGTCTCCAAGAAACTAAAGTTTGACAAGAGCCTACTCATGCTCCTATACAACAATACAACAATACAATCAATAAAACAATCAGAATATGAACAACAACCATGGAGCATGATAGTTGACAATAATGAATTTCATGATGGTTAGTTAGAGTACTTTCGGCATTTTCTTTGCTTTCTCAAGCTCTGAGGAATCTGGAAGACTCGTAGCAAAAACCCTTTCCACCTGTTATGGTATTAAAAACTCGAGAGTTCACAATCACGTTCTAGTGCGATTGCAGCAACCACGAAAATTGAAAAACTTAAAATCTTAGTCAAAATAGAATGACATTAAAATGGTATTTCAAAGATACCTATTCAACCATTTTTATAGATCTATCATCCCCTTTGCATAATCATTAAATATAGATGAAAGAGAAAACCTTAAACAACAATCATCACTTCGGATTCAAGTTATTGCTATTTTTTCAAGCTTTGTAGCAGTTTCGACCAGGTCTCACCACAACTACACAATCGTTTTTCTCATCAAAGCAATTTTAATTCAGTTCAATTTTTCGAGTTTCAAGATGTAAAAGCTACTATTAAAACAAACCTCAAAAGTTAAACAACATGAAGCAAAAACCGTAAAAACAAAAAACCTAAAACCATAAACACCATAAAACATATCACAACTTATGGAAAAATCACTAATCTATATGTCAAAAAGCAAACCTAATAATATGTAGATAAATGGTTAAGTAAAACGATTCTAAGAAAGACCATTGAAACTCACATCTTTGTCAACAACAACCATCTCAAAATGTTCCATTGAAGTTGAAGAAACCTTCAATTTGTGATGAACTCTTACATCGATCTTCCACAAATCTTTATGGTCATTTATGTCATTTATCATCTCGAATGGTCTCACCATGTTGAATGCTCAAAGATTACAGTTGCAGAAGCTTAATAATAACTGAGAAGTCAAAGCCGGAAAAGGAGAAGGAGTGAAGAAATGGAAACTTGAATCAGTAGAAACCAAAACTTGGAGCCAAAACCTCTGTCCATTGGGTTTGGTAAGGTTGCAGATGGGATTTGACATGTTACTCAGGTGCTGTGTAAAATTTTGCAGGAATGCAAAAAACTAGGACCAATGCTTGAAGAAAAGAAACAGTGTCAGTAAAGAAGTAGTCCAAATGATACTAAGACTATACAAATCGTTCCATAAAGTATATAGAGCCAAAATGAGTATGGTTGGTAGTTAACAGATTGCATTCAATAGTTAGGATATTGAAATAAAATACTTAACTTTCCCTTCAAATGATGAGATGTAGAAATATGAAGCAAGGGTAGAAAAATGATTTCTAGATGCTTCACTTTTCTTATATGGTAGATCAAAGTGATTAATGTCCTGTGCATTATTTAGGACGAACCGAAATGCTGGTAATAACTACCTCAATACCCCTGAAAAGATGATTGAAATTTAAGGTTCAAGTCAGTTTTATATGACCCTAAGGTGGACGCCAATATATACTTACTAAAAAATTACATATGCATAGCAACTCTTAGTTGGTAAAGATGGTAAGAGACTTTAGTATTTCTAGTGCTTACGAGGGTGAGAAGGTCTATTTTTAAAGTGTTTTATGTGAATATTAGATTGATTTATTTCTTTGTATTATCAAGATAAGTTTAAATAACTTGGCTAAGATTTAGGGCTTATAAAACTCAACTTTAGATTATTAGACTCTAAGGGAGCTTACAAACCTCAGACCTGATGTTAACAAGTTAGTTAAATTGACCAATCATTATTCTTAAATACTTTTGTTTGTCATCATAAAAAAGGGGAGATTGTGAGAATAAAATTGTTCATATCCCTTGGATTTTGATGATAACAATGTACTTAAAGAACAAATGGGTATACAAACATATATTCAAGTGTGCAGGATCATAAGCTTAAAAATCAACTTGATTCTGACCCTGATAAGATCATATGAAGAAAAGCTAAAGGACTCGGATTCTGAAGGATCATAATCTAATGACTCGGAACTTGGTATCTCAGCTTCTGGTGATAGCTCAGACTCTGAAGACCTAAGCTAAAGGTACTCAACTTCTGATTCGTACTCTGTATCAAAAGCAGATCTATCTTGTCAAAGTCGTATTATCGAGAAAGTCAACTAGAGTTTCTTAATGCAAGGCTCAAAGACAGTTGACATGACCTCTTAAGTCTGCTCCAACATCTTGGTAGATACCAAGTATGAGAAAGATGCCTTGGATAAAACTATTACATGGAGGTTGAAGATCTTAACCAGATCAACTTACAACATCTCTTTTGGAACTGCATCTCAACATAGTTTACATGTGCATGTTATCTTCCAACGTCATTTTTCTGTCTCTATAAAAGGAGTTGAAGTTTTAAAGGAAGAAAATTAACCATCTAACAAGAACAACACAGAACATAATATTGACCCAAAGTTATAATTCTTTGCTCACAAGTTCTTGAGATTTCTTATCTTTGTATATTTTAGAAATCTTAAGTGTTTTAGAATTCTTGTGTATGTGTTGTATCACTTCTATACTTCTGATTTTATATCAAGTATAGTTGTTATCTATTCTCATAAACTATTTGTTTAGAGTATATCAAGTCTCTTGCTAGTTTGTTTGAGCAGTAGAAGTCTCTTGCTAGTTTGTTTGAATAGTGGAAGTCTCTTGCCTGTGTGCTGAAGTTGAAGTCTCTTTTTAATGTGATTGAGCAGTTGAAGTCTTTTACTAGTTTGTTTGAGCAAGTAGTAATCGGTTTGATTATAGTAAAAATCTCTTATTAGACAAGGAGACTGGACTACTCTCAGTTTGTGGGAGAAACTTTGATAACTCGGTGTGTTATTTTACTTTTTGTTTCTGGATATTATTCATTTTGCTGCTAACAACTCTGAATTTAGATTCTGAATTTGTTCAAATAAAACTGATTTTCAAAACTAAAAAGAATCTACTATACACAATTTAAATCTCTTTATTGTGTGTTTTTTCTCACCTTCTTAATTAATTTCGTTATGCTTAATCTCATCTTCATTCAAGATAAGGGTAAACCCTGAATATGACAATTCTTTGATAAATATTAATTAAAATAATAATAAAAAATAATTAATACATCATTAACTTTAAATTTGAAAACAATATTATATAATAGATAGATCACACATAATTGAATTTCTTCATTCTCATAATTTAAAGATAACTCTTTTAGTCATGTTTTTAATTACAATAAACAACATCAACTACATGCAGAACACACAAATATACCTTGCAAAAGAATACATGTCTCTTCATCTCTTCATGAAATAAACATGATTCATGAAGTCATGCATGTTATGTGAGAACGCATCTTATTTTATATATATATATATATATATATAAAATGAGTGTAAATTTTAATATCTATTATATTTAAATATGTATCATATATCAAATATCAATTTATTCATGTATTTTAATTACAATAAACAAATCAGCTACATGCACAACACATAAATATATCTTGCAAAAAAATACTAGTCTATTATGCTCTTCAGGAAATAAATATAATTCATGAAGTCATGCATATTATATGAGAATGTATATTATATAAGTTTAACATATAAAATAAGTGTAAATTTCAATATCTTATATTTATATATTAAATGTGTATCATCTGTCAAATATTAATTTATTTGAAATATTCATATAAAATTTTGTAATGTTTCATTATTTTATGAACAAATTATAAATTATATCTTGTATAAAAAATTTTAAATTAAACTATTTTCCATTTAAACAATCCACAACATTGACATTAATCATTACGTTTCATTTTGGTCATCTACTCTTTTTATTTATTTTTCTTTTCTTTTTTCAATTTGCATACAATCTGTAAAATTACAATAGATAAAACATCACCACAACATCATATTACTTTTACTTTAAATTGTGCAATTTATTTTACTTATATATTTATATTTATATTACATGTGCGATTATAATATATATTTAAAATATGTTTTTTTAAATAAATTAAATTAATAATAATTTTGATAAGTATAATCTCATATAATTTAGTGATTAATATCATTTTAAAATGTCATGATATGACAATATTAAATATTATTTTATATTAAAGAAATAATAAATCAATTATTAATTTTATATTTACTATTTTATTATAATAATTTTGTTTTAACTTAAGAAAATATAAAATATTTTAAAAGTATAAAAATTGTTTTGAATTTTATAACATTTTCTTTTGAGTTGAATCTCATCATTATATGCATTAACATACCTTATTTATATATATATATATATATATATATATATATATATATATATATATATATATATATATATATATATATATATATATATACTAAAACGACTCATTTTTTAAAGTTACTTAAAATATTATTTTAATTGTATGCTCCATATATTTGCACATGAAGACTTAGTAATACTACTAGTATTTTATTTATTTCAGAAGTAAAATAAATTAGTTATTTGGTATGAAAAAACTTTTGTTCGGCATCAACAGGATACGAGCCCAATGCTTCTATTCCCCTAACCGCTCTTACCCGTAACAGAAGTATCACACCACTACTTCTAAGTTGTATAACACCAACTGCGAACACCGTTACTTTCTTCTTCCACAACTCTTTTAACAGCCTAACAACACCGTGAACTCGCCGGAATCGCTTCTGTATCAGCCGTAACACTGTTTCACAGCAACCAAAACATCTAGGTTAGATTTTGACTCCGTTCCCATTATTCAATTCAATGTCTCTCATTTTCTCTATATTCTGTCGATTCAAGAACCTAACATGCTTTTTCTGATTTTCTCTGTATCGTATCAATTCAAGAAGCTAATATCATCCGTTTTCAATTTTGAGTCCAATTGCGATTTTCAAATTTGCAGTTTCTGATTCAGTTTCAATTGTGATGTCCAAGGATAAAGACGCTACCAATTTGTCTCGCACCTTCAAATACCTTTTAGGTTTGCTTATTATTTTCAACACATCAATTGCACAATTTCATCCTTTTTAACTTCTTTAGATATGAGAAAAACATTTGATCTGTGAAATTATTTAATGGCACTAAATTCTTTGCGAATAAGTTATTCTAATGTCGGGTAACAGAGTAAAAGAGACAAAAGGTAGGAATGAGAAGAAAAACGTTAAGTCAAACTCTTGGATGATTATAAGGTGATTATAAATAAAACTACAATATGAATTCTCAATTTATAAGAGTCTCATGCACTATTTGCATTGACCTTTTTTTTCTCCACATAACAATTATGACATTACGTTTTCACAATCTTGTTATTTTGTTTGCTTCCAAATTTAAGTTTTAGATAGGTCATGGGAGGACCTACACCGAATAAACTTGTTAACGTTGACCAGCCTTGTTAACGTTGACCAGCCTTGTCATAAACATGTGCTAGATTATCTTTAGTGGGAAATTTGGCATGTCCATATTCCTTCCTCTATTACTTCACGAATGAGATGGTATTGAACTCTTATGTGCTTTGTTCTGAAATGAAAAGTTGAATTTCTTGCAATGTGCAAGACACTCTGACTGTCACAATACACCGTAATCTTATGTTGCTTGTGCCCGTGCCCGTGCTCTTCCAGTAAACTCTGAATCCAAATTGCCTCCTTGCATGTTTGGGTAGCTGCCATATATTCTGCTTCTATGGCAGATAAAGCTACAAAGTTCTGTAATTTAGATATCCAACTCATTGTTCCCCTTGCAAGTGTAAATGGATAGCCAATAGTAGATTTTCTTTTGTCAAGATCATGTGCAAAGTCTGAATCAACATATCCCCTGACAGCAAATTCTGATCCTCTAAAACATAATGCAAGATCTGAGGTTCTTTTAATGTATCTTAGAATCCTCTTCACAGCATTCCAATGCTCTTTACCTGAATTTGCCATAAACCGATTAATCGTCCTAACTGCTTGAGCGATATCTACAAATCATTGCATACATAAGGATTCCCACCGGTGATGCATATGATACGCAAGACATTTCCATCCTCTCTGCTTCGTTGCTAGGACACACACCTGAGGATAATTTATAATTGACAGGTAGTGGGGTAAATATCCGCTTACAATCTTGCATATCGAAGCGCCACAAAACTTTCTGAAGATAATTCTTTTGAGAGAACCAAATCTTCCTATCTTTTATGTCTCGGTGAATTTGCATCTCTAGAATCTTGTTTGTGGGTCCCAAGTCCTTCATGTCGAACTCCCTAACTAACCATGCCTTCACTTCTTGGATTCGGTCTTTGTTGGGGCCTACCACCAACATGTCATCCACATACAACATCAAAATGATGAAATCATTACCCTCAAACCTCTTGTAATATGTACAATGGTCTGGGCTTAGCCTGTTGTATCTAAGGCTAATAATGAAGGAATCGAATCTCTTGTACCAACACCTCGGCGCCTGCTTTAAACCGTACAGAGATTTGATCAACATGCAAACCAAGTTTTCTTTTCCTTTTTCTTTAAAACCTTCTGGTTGGAGCATATATATTTCTTCTTCAAGTTCTCCATGAAGAAAAACAGTCTTTACATCCAACAGTTCAAGATGTAAGTCATAAGCAGCACACATAGCTAACACTACTTTGATAGTGGTAAGTCTAACCTCTGGTGAGAAAATTTCATTGAAATCAATGCGTTCCTTTTGAGCTTATCCCTTTACCACCAGTCTTGCACGATATCTTTGCACTTGATCATTACCATCACGTTTGATCTTATAAATCCATTTGTTGCCTATGTCTTATTTTTATGTAATGCTTCCATTTCTTCCTGCATTGCTGCCATCCATAGAGAAGCATTATAACAACTCATCGCCTCTTGAAAGGTTGATGGTTCTCTCTCTTCTGTTAGAAGACAATATGCATCACGGCTTGCCCTAACATAGTCTGATTGCCAATTTGGCTTCCTTTTTTGACGTGTTGGTCGTCAAACTTCAACACCATCGGGTTCCTCTGGTTCTTGTACCCCGTGCTCTGGTTCTGATTCAAAAGAATCATCTTCTCCAGACAATCCATCTATATGAACAGTAGTTATATCTTTAGAAGTTTTGTCATTTTTGTGCCCCCTTTGCAGTTCATTCTCTGCAAAGATTACATTCCTGCTGACAATAACCTTACGGGCAATGGGATCCCACAAGTGATACCCCTTAACACCGTCAGCATAGCTCAAGAATATGCATTTCTTGGATTTTGGATCCAGCTTAGTTCTTTCTTGGGAGTTGTACATTATGTACACAGGACATCCAACCACATGTAGAGTAGAATACTTAGCTCGCTTTCCATTCCACATCTCCATAGGTGTCTTTAAACCAATTGCAGTTGATGGCAATTGATTTATCACGTAACAGATGATTTTCACGACTTCAGCCTAGAACGACTTGGCTAATCCTGCAGTTCGCAACATAGCTCTAGTCCTTTCTTGGAGATGTCTATTCATTCTCTCTGCTACACTGTTCTGCTGAGGTGTATGAGCAGTTGTAAATTGTCTCATTATACCCCCTTCCTTGCAGAATGCCAAAAAGTCACCGTCTATATATTCTCCTTCGTTGTCTGACCTCGAGCACTTAAATCTTCTTTGCAATTTCAAGCTCCGCTAGTGTTTTGAATTGCTTGAATATTGAAAACACATTTGACTTCTTGATTGGGTATACCCACAATCTCCTAGAGTAATCATCAATGAATGACACAAAATATTTTGCTCTTCCTATGGACATTTGTGGTGACTCCCACACATCAGAATGAATCAAGGCATTTATGTGTTTGCTCTTAGTAGTTGATATATCAAACTTCAACCTATGTTGCTTGCTTATCACACAATGCTAAAAAAAAGGTAAACTTACAAATTTGAGCCTGGGTAAGAGATCACGCTCCGCAAGAAATTTCAAGCCTCGTTCGGACATATGGTCCAGTCTTCGATGACACACTGTCGTTGAGTCTTCTTGACCAGTTGACGCAATTGATGCATTTGCCTCTTGCAATGTTTCTCCCAAAAGCATGTATAGATTTGCAAATAACTTCTCTGCTCTCATCACTGCTAGAGAATCTTTCACCATTTTCAAGATCCCACCTTCAATATGGGTCAATATGGGTTTTGCACCCGAGGTCATCTAATTGTCCAATAGACAATAAGTTCTTCTTCAGCCTCTTCACATGTCGTACCCCTTGCATTGTGCGAACAATACCATTATACATTTTTATTTTGACAGTACAAACTCCAACAATTTCTAAGGCATAATCATTTCCCATGAATACAATTCCTTCCGAGATAGGTTCATAAGTCCAAAATCAATCTCGTCGAGGAGTCATGTGCCATGTTGCTCCTAAATCAATTATCCAAACATCAATGAGTTGTTTACTACCTTTGGAACCAATTGCTACTCTGTTATATATGATCTCTCCATCATCAACGGTACTGGCAACACATCCTTGAGATGAACTTGCCTCAGAAGACTTCTCACCATTCTTCTTAAACCAACAATCTATTTTCAAGTGCCATTTCTTGCCACAATTGTAGCATCTCAGGTTTATCTTACTTCGAGATTTTGATCTACCATGATTTTGGCTCCCACTGGGGCCACATTCCATTGATCTGCCTCTCGTCATTTTCAAAGCTTCTACTTCCTTATTTATACGCTTGGACTCTTCCTCAAGAATAGCTCCGACAACATCAAAGTATAGATCGTCTGTAACATTATTATTTGTTAAGTTGACGACAAGTGGATCGTATGAATTTGATAAGCTCTGAAGTAGAATTTTTCTGCACGTTCATTTTCTGCTATGCTGAAATTTGCCGATGTAAGTTGAGCAAATATCGTATTTAGCGTGTTTATGTGATATGTCACGGATGTGGATTCACTCATACGAAGAGTGTAAAGTCTCATCTTTTAGAAAATTCGGTTGTGAAGTGACTTGACCTCGTACAATTTGATGAGAACATCCCAAATCTCCTTTGCAATATTCTTTTCTTCAACGCTTGGCAAAACTGAATGCGCCGATGCTAAGTGCAAATTGGCAACAATGTTGTTATCCATCTCATTCCACTTCTCGTCAAATATTTTCTCAGTTCTACTTTCAATTACTGCCAAGCAATTATCCTTCCTCAGGATTGCCTTTATCTTTAATTTCCACATGGAGAAATTACTCCCATTGAACTTCTCAATCTCAAATTTTACTGTCATGGTAATTTCAATTGAACTGACTTGCTCAATTTCACCGTGAGTAACAAAGTATACGTGAACAATAACTTGCTCAATTTCACCGTGAGTAACAGTATACGTGAACAATATTGTATATTCTATACACTATAACAAATCTAGCATGCGTTAACAATTACTGCAAAAGTATACAATAACATGTGTGAATAGTAACTGTGAACAATATACGCAGCGGAATAGGGACCAACACCAATATCTCTGATACCACTTTTGGGTAACACAAGCAACATAAGATTATTGTGTATTGTGACAGTCAGAGTGCCATGCACATTGCAAGAAATCCAACTTTTCATTCCAGAATAAAGCACATAAGATCTCAATACCATTTCGTTTGTGAAGTAGTAGAGGAAGGGAGTTTAGACATGCAGAATATTCACACTAAAGACAACCTAGCAGATGTTATGGCAATGTCGATCAACACTCACAAGTTTATTTGGTGTAGGTCCTCTCATGGCCTATCTAAAGCGCAACAACATGAAATTGACAAGAAAAAATTTGGAAAACAAAATGACTTTAAGTGAGAGATTGTGAGGACGTAAAGTCATAACATATTTGTTATGTGGAAAAAAATGTCAATGCAATAGTAATTATTGGTGAAGAAAAAACTATGTACAATTCACTCATATGTATCCATTTATAGTGCACGAGACTCTTATAAATTGAGAACTCATATTGTAGTTTTATAATCATTCTATAATCATCCAAGAGTTTTAGTTAACATTGTTTCTTCTCATTTCTACACTTTTGTCTCTTATTTTAACGGTGTTAATATTATTTATGTTACTCTGTTACCCAACATCTAAAATCATATATGCTGGAGATCATTGAAATTCATTTTTACATTCTTTTAGTTTTTCAGTCTATTGAATAACTAGTTTAATGATGATGCATTGTCTGTGTAAATTAGTTTTGCAACTTCATTCAATACATAAGCTCACTTTGCAACTGCATATTAAAAATAATTACAAAATACTTTATTGCACGGAAGTGTAAAACTAATTTATACCTACATTGCATGTCCCATTTTATTTTGAATTATATGCTTTCATTTAGTTAAATACAATGTATGTACTTACATGTTAGATCTTATGTCAGATGTCTGAATTTGATTTTTTTTGGGGGATAACATGAATTCAGCTACTCAATTCTTGTCAAGAGGAATTCCATTTATATTCAATACATGGATTGTGAGGCATCTCACAGAAGAGGACTATGCGGTAATATTTTGTTCTTCCAATTTTTTATTTTTGTTACCATCTTTTGGGTGTATGATTTTAACTTACTCTTTAAAATGTAATTGAATTCATGTTAAGAGTCCTGAACATTCCCTTTCTTTGGTTATATATGGAAAAGTCCTTTTGAACCTTTTGTCCACTTGATCCTGTGCCAGAAAGAATTGAGAGTGCTGCTGATTGCATGCTTGCCTAGTCGAAGATCCCTTGTGGTCTTTGGAAAGCCAGAACCGACCCACTTTATTGGTGCAAAATCATCACTGGTTTTAGAGCTCAGCCAGGTTATCTTCACTTGGAATGGATTCTTTGAGATCACACTGGATAAAGGCATAGTAGCATGCCATGCCATCTTCATCGTCATATGCAGCCCGCACTTGGTTCTCACCAAAAGTGTCCTCTATTCGGTTCCCATCGAAGTCATGGAAATCTGGGTCTGGAACACTCATTGAGACAGAAAGAGGTTCCTCTGAATCAGCAGTGATATAGTTGTTGTTGGTTTCAGAATCAACAATTTCTTTTGGACCAGGCTTCACACTATTAATAGTCTTTTCTTTCTCCTTCACTTTGACTTCTGCACCAGTATTATTTAATATAGAAGACGGATACCGTTCATCAAGCTTCTTACAAATTACCTTCCACTCATCAAGCTTTCTAAGACTCTCCTTCCACCATGAAGTTTCTTACAAATCTCCTTCCGAGCCTTTTCCATCAAGATGTTCCTCATTTTAGGCTGAGACGTGCCCCTAATACCATTTCGTCTGGAATTTCTGGCAGCACTAACCTTTCCTGCATCAAAACTATTCTTCAGAGACCCAGACACATTGGTTGAGTTTATTCCTTTTTTTTATGCCTTTTCAGCTTCCATGCCTCTTCTGTCACTATCAACTTTATGTTCACCTGTGCACCTTTTTTTTCTTCTTTCCAAGAGGGATGAAAATATGAACCCGCAACAGCTCTTTCAACAACATGAGTTTTCCCAAAATGTGTCTCCTCATTCATGAGAGGTGTCGAATCTTCATGCCTTCTCTTCAAATTCACAGATGGTCTGTTAAAAAGACCAAGAGCTCCAGAAGCGTAGAAACTGATGTCGGTCCACTGGAAATGCCACTCGGCATAGAAAAAGGACCTGGCCCAAGCGATGAGTTGATGGCAGACATCAGTGTCCTACTTGGAATATGGTGTTTCTTACCAATCTGGTTGAGTTGAAGTTATGCTGCTTCAACAAAAAAGCTCTTGAAGTGGGTGAAGCATTTGCGATTAAAGGCGAGGCTGGTGTCTCAGAAGCAAAAAATGGCTTGTTGCAGCCGGCACAAACAATTTTGCAGTTTCTATAAACAGCAAAGTACTCATAGTGTGTCCTGCAGAAATTGCACTCATATGATCTATGTCCTTCCCGATAGGAGAATTAAACAAACCATTATAACTAGTAGGTACAAAAGGTCTTGGAGTAGGATTGGTATGAGCGCCACTCGCGAGATCTGTCCTTCCGGTTAGCAGCTTAAACAAACCACCCTGAGTAGCAGGTTCAGAAGATTTCCCACCAAGGTTAGCAGTATCAAACAAACTATTCCAAGGTATACGTATACCACCAATAATCCTTTTGAAGGACTCCCATAAGCGGCACTTTTGATCAAAGGCGGCTCTCTTAGCTTTATCAGATAATACAGTCCACACCTGAGAAACCAGCTTAAATGTGCCATTTGCACCCACCGACTTGTTTTTATCCGGATGCAGAGTAAGAGCCATCTGCCTGTAACATTTCCGAATAGTTTTATCATCATCCAAGGGCTGTGCACCATGAACCTCGCAGGGCCAGGCCTTCGTTGCAAGTAGTTTTGCAACACCAAAATGTTCCTGTAAGAACCTCTTCTTTTCCATCCTTTTAGCCCTTAAGGCATAATCTTTGGAACATTCCATTACTAACTGGTTTGTTTCTCCGGCTAATCACTCTTTTTGATTCCCTTCTTTAGAAGCATAACACCGAAGCAACACCAAGGATCCGACAACTTGATGTGTGCAGTAAAGATGCTTCCATTAATTTCACATGCCTAAGAAACCCTTAACACAGTGGAATGAAGGATAAGAAGAAATTGAAGTGAGTTTCTCACTTTAGACGAGTCGTATTCCTTAAAGTGAAGTGTTTTCCACTTACTTTTCCAGTTGTGATGATTATTTTCATTTACTTGGATTTGATATAGCATCAGCAATCTGTATACCTTTTTGTCGTCTGCTTTAATTATTATATACTTCTTTATTTAGATGTCATTTTTGGTGTGTATGTGCTTTGTTGTCGTTCTGTGTTGCATTGTAAACTTAATTGATAAAAACTGATTTACCATGATGTTACCTTTTGTCATGCAGATGTATGCAGTGCAGTTTCATCTATTTGTCACGTGTGTTTTATTTCTTAGCCGGGAGGGTTTCCGACGAGCATGCATGCGGATGGATATAAAACGGTGATTCCTTATATTTTGCTAATTCTATCATGTAGGAATAACCATGTGTTTAAAGAACTGTGTTCTACAATGTTTTGTCAAGTTAGTTTGGCTATTAACAATATATGTTGGTGTGCTCTCATTGTTCATTGGGCTATGGGCCTTCTATCTTGCATGTAGCTAACTCTATTGTACTGGGCTATGGGCCTTCTATCTTGCATGTAGCTAACTCTATTGTACTGGGCCTTGGGCCTTGGTTTCTGTTGAGCTTGCACAACAGAATAACTAATGGGCCTTAGTTTCTGTTGAGCTTGCATTCAGCTTGCATATTTCAACGGAATAACTAATTCTGTTCGAGTCAGTTTCATGCAGTTATAACTGCACTGTACTATGGAAGAAGCTCATGGTATTCTTAAATTGTTTTTCTTGTTGGACGCATCACTAGTGACCTGGCTTCTTCCATGCTGGATAATGAGGGGTTTGTTAGTTCTTTTAGTACTCTTTGTTATCCCTATCTAATCTATGCTTTTGAACAACTCATTTATGACACGCATCAGCATAAAATGAGTTTAGTGTTTGGTTTAGATCTATAGCATCACAGGTAAGTAATTATTATTTTATGATGCTTTAGATAAACTATGTTATTGTTTCAATCCGAAGAGTTATTAAAATTCTGATTTGAGTCTCTCAATTATTGGTTATCCCTATATCTATATCTATATCTATATCAAATGTCTTAGAATTTTGAGTCTGGCTTAACTCAACTATCAAAACCGGTTTGTAAGGTGGTGAGATTTTCCTCCACTTATAAACATATTTCAGGCCATATCTCATTTGATTTAAGACACTTATTACACCCCTTCAAGCCTAATAGTGTTGGGCTTGGTGCATGCCTTAAAGGTTATTAACTTATATTATTTTTAAAATTGAATTTTCCTATGCTCTTGCCTGAGCTCCATTAAAATATATATTTTTCATATTATAGTGATGATACTTCAATGGAAGAAGATGTCGTGAAGCTAATGAAAGTAGCGTGGATGAGTGTCCCACTTGGCATATTTGTTACCATTGTAGCTTGCCTTTTTGTCTTCTGGTGGCAACAAATAAGTTATTTTAGTCCTTATGGGCAAGCTGTCTTGGTCAATGGTAATCCACCGAAGCTTACTGTTAAAAAATCTTAATGTACCATGGGTTTTAAAAAACAGTCTGTGACCGCGAAAACGGCCGCGACAAAACGATTTCAACAAGTGCCGATACCGATACCTTTATCACCGAATTTATATTAAAGAACAAATTGTGATTAATTCACACAGCGATGACTGCAATCAGTGTCGCGACACCTGTACCGACCGTAATCGCAAAAGCCTTTAAGCGACCGCAACGCAACCACGGCCGTTTTTTTAAAACCCCATGCGTCCTGGAATAACTGTTCAAAGTATCACAATTTGATCTTTTATCAATGAAGTTCTCTTGTTATGCCAGGTTGTGCGTGCATTTTGGAGCTGTTGGCCGAGCCTTTGTATATTCTTTCCCAGAACTTGGTCTTGCTTGAATTACGGTTGATGGTTGAGACAGTAGCTACATTTTCACGGTGCATGACAATGTACTTTTTAATTGTCAAGCTAACTGGAATGGTAATAACTTAGCTATACTGAGCATATATTTTAGTCTTTACTTTCCTTATCATTAAGCTGACAGTCAATGTGTTTTCTACTATTCTTGTGACATACCAATGACAGGTTAGTTATTGGACAAGTTTCTCTTTTGTCAGCTACTGTTGTCTTTACAAACTACTTACTGTTGTTTTTCTCTGTACAAACATTTTTTTCTAATTTATTAAAAGTGAGATCATTAGACAGCGTATTCTATTAATTTTTGCTTCTATAAATAATTCATTTGTTACATTCTCGACGAACCGAAAGCTGTTCAGATGAATAAGAAATGCAATCCAATAAGCAGGAGCAATTACAGAAACTGGAAGTTAGAGAAGTTAAATTACAATAAAAAATAGATTATTTGCTGATGATTTAATCTGTGATAAAAAAAAATCTTATTGTAAAACTTCTACAGAATAGTTCTATACATAGATGTCAAACCCCACAAATTCTAGCCTTTGACTCTTTAATTGTCAAATTTTGGCAGTTTAATGGCCAAGCAAAAGGAACTTCTAGTGCTTCACTCTTGCATTATGGATAGTAAGCAACAGTGTTGCTTCTTTTAAGTAATTTATTTCATTAGTTTTTGGAAACAACATGTCTGAATTAAAAAAATCCATATTTGTTTGTTTCATTTCCCTATCCTGCATTTTATAAGAACTAGTTTATCAAAGTGCATTGGAGTTTGATGTATACTTATAATCCAGAGTTTACACAATAGTGTGGTGGACTTTGGTAATCTCCATGTAACAACTGATTTCTGAGGTGAATGATAAATTCCAGGAAAAATCAATCATATTTGCGTTGTCACAGTCTGCTTATGGAGCCTGCTTATTTCTTGGTTATTGGGGATATCTGCTTCTTTTTCGGAAACTTAGCTATTCTTACCTTTTCCCATTCAGGTACAGTTTTTTGTTTTTGACATAAATTTCTGCACATGGTTGATACCTGTTACTTCTATTACTTTCTCATCCAGAAGATGAAGGAAATTTAAAAGTAGTACTTTTCATAAATTTAGAACTAGGCAGCGATAGCTCAAGGAAAGGGTTGTGTACTTCTATTACAAGCAGTGGTCTGACAAGCTTATATAGGAATATAATAGGCTAGATCTTAAATCATTTCAGAGGGATCACATTTGCCTGAAGCTACTCCTTGTAATCTTGATTGATCAATTATTTTTCTGTTTTATATGTGGATGTAAGCCTTTAGTTTGCTGTCAGTTGAACAATGTTAAATTCCATGTCTAGTTATCTTCTCTTTTTTCTTGTCGGGTGCATGATAGGCCCATTAAGCACATGAAAATGGGTCCATGAAAATAGGAAAAACTTGGTACAGATGCAGGAATGGAGAGAAAAGAGTGATAACAAAAAAGGGACATGTGGAAGGAAGGGATTGAAGGGGAGAATGTGGGGAATCTGGGTGAATCATGAAAAGGGTATTAGGGAGGGGAGGAGTAACCATAGTGGGCAGTTTTTGAGATATTGGGTATGATTTTGGTATATTTCTTTTTCCTTTTCCTTTTTTTTCTTTCTCTGTTAAATCCATCTCAAACAAAGTAGTAATCTACTCCATTTCATTTTCCCTTTCATTACTGATTTCATTCGTTTCAGAACCATTGTAAGCGGATATCTCTTTTGTTTCAGTTCAATATAGCAACAGATTACTTCTTGGTTTTTGAGCTCAATCCTAACTGTACACTTACCTGTATTAGTCTATTGTGTTGTGTCAGAATGATGCCAGTCTTAACCTATCTCGTCTTCTGATTACACACGATTTTCTCTTGATTTAATTTATGATATATTGAATATGCTTTGCAAGGAAATAGTGGAAACTTGATAATGTTTATGAACTTTATTTTGTTTGATGTTTGCTTATTTATGTTATAAGCGTGCAGTTTATAAGTAACAAATTTTTGCAGAAAAGGAAACTTTTTTGGATTTGACCAGCAGCTTTCGAAGATGTGCACGCTGTTTACCTTTCAATCGTTTCGAAAGCTGATTCTTCAGGAAGGGGAGAAGATAGTGCTTGTGTGGTTTGATACACCATATAATCAAGCTGTATACGGCCTCGTGGATAAATTAGGTCAGTATATGGGTTAGATAATTTGTGCTAGAAAGCTTAACTATTGTGTATCTAAATCTTCTAATTACATTAAGAGTACTTATTTTTTTATTAAGCAGCACTATTGTGTTTCTAAATCTTCTAATTGCATTAAGAGTACTTTTTTATTTATTGAGAAGCACTATCGTGTTTCTAAATCTTCTAATTGCATTAAGCTTAACTATTGTTGTCTAAACATGATTGTCTTTTAAAGAAAATACCACCTTTCAGGTAGCTTAGTGGTGAGACTTGTCTTTTTACCATTTGAAGAAAGTTCATATACAACATTTGCAAGGTCTGCTTCAGGTTCTATTTCTTTCTTGCTTTTTTGATGCTTGAACTGTAAAGCTGTCTTGCTCTCTTTGCAGTTATTATTTACTTCTACTTCACTCTCGCTCATTATGATTTTCTGCCTCTTTAGAAATCATAATACATATAGCTTTTGGTGTTCTCAACTCTTGTTTATTATCTCTCTTTTCCCCATTCACTGCAGTGTGTTAGGTTTAATTAACTACCAGTTAATTATTATTGTTGTAGTTGTTGTTGTTTATGTTTAATCATAAAGCTTACTGTTATAGCTGGGCTTACGGCTATAGTGAAATTGCTTTCAATTTCACAAACTGAATAATGTTTTTGTAATGCCTGACAGGAGAATACCCAGGAAAACACAAGAAATTAGGAAATTGCTTGACTGAATCCCTCAAGTTGGTTTTGTTGATTGGTATGTCTTTTTCATTTCACTTCGTATTTTATATGTTTTCTGATTTCTCAATAGCAACATATTAACTGGTTCTTTAAAAATCGTAAAGCCGCATAAACAGATGCAGTCAATGTAAATTACTGTATAACCATTTGGGATGCTGCCTGATATGATATAGGATGTATACTCTTATTCTCTTATCTTTTGTAGTAAGCAAACTTAAGTAATGTATTTTTTCCCTCCATATGAATGTCTTTTATTGAAAGAAAAGAAAAGGAAGGAAACTTGAATCTTACAATTTATGAGGCTGTGACTCTTCCTGCATGGAAATAAATAGGATAGAAAAATATGGATGTAATCCCTAGTGAAGTTTTCTAGCAGATTGACCTCAGTTACCTAGGGCCAATATTAAGTGCCTCTAGAAAGAACATTTTTATGAATAACCCACTATTATGTTGTCTGCTTGGTAAGTAAGTCGACATACATTTTAATAGACAATAATGATTATGTTAAATGATCTCTCAAAGAGGATGTGTCTAAGGCATTGGTAAGCCTTCTGACTGACACCATAAAATTATTGGTTTGAAATTCTCACTGTTTCATAGTTTGATTTTTGAAGATCTGGTTTTTGAATTTTTGCTCGAGATTCAGTAATTTAATTTATATTAAAGGTAATTAAACAGTCTTTCTTGTCACAACTCACAATTACTGTGTTGGGACTCTATCCAAACCAGATGGCCTGCCTAAACTTTTTCACTCTTCTTATGCACAAATTTAGTTCACTTGTACTACCGTGATTAAGAATTGTGTGTATAGCCTTATTCATTTTTCACATAGGAGGATATTTGGACATGCTTTGCATTAAATTGTGTATTCTACTGTTTCTTCTGCTGTATAATATCCGGCTATGTGCTTTGCAGGCGTTGTTTTCATGGCATTTGGCCCAAGTTATTCTTACTCCCTCATTAGATTGTTGTATGGAAAAAAATGGAGTGATGGAGAAGCATCAATTGTTCTCCGCTATTATTGCTTTTATGTCATTGTTTTGGCTATGAATGGTAATTCACCTTGTCCTTTGTTGCTAAATTTCTTAATTGTTAAATATAATAATTATTTTTTGTTACAATGGTTATCGGGGCTCTATGCTGAAGATGAAGTAGGAATTAGAAAATTGAATGTTAGTTTTTCTGTCCCGACTCTTCATAGATAAGTACAGCAAAAGACTAGCCGAGAGAGTATGATAATTTTTAATCATATTTCATCTATTATTAGCAACTACCAAATAGGGTAATCTAGGGGATTTACCCACACAACATGCTACATGATGTACATTTGTGTATATTATGAAGAGTAGGAAACAATTCCCAGAACAAAACAGTATTGAGTAATGAAAAGAATGAAGATTGCAAAAGAAAGGCTAGAATTCTTAATTTAACAGCAAAGGGGAAAGAAAAGTATACAATTCAATTGTTGAAATACTATTAACAAGTCAAACAACCTATAATAATATAACCAACAAATTAACTGTTGAGATATCGATTACTACCGTTGTCCCAAAATATATGGTCCTGTTGACTAAATCACATGAATTAAGAATGTTGGTAGTAGTAATACGTCAATCCACACACAGCCACAAAGCTTTGCGCATTCCAGCATGTGAGCCACACACACCGCCTTCTTGCCTCCATTTTTGTGCGCTGCTGCACTAAATCGATGGACATGTTCATCAATTAAAGGCTTGGCTAGTGTAAAAGGATATACTCAAGTCTATGGTTAGGATTACAGTGGTACCCTTGCTTCAGCTGTGAATATGACATTTGTCCGCCTCTTTACAACTATGGCTGCCATGAAACATCGACCCTTATTTCAGTTAGATGTAAAAAATGCTTTCTTGCATTACGATTAGGTAGTGGAGATTTATATGTAGCAACCTCCTGGATTTGTTGTTTAAAGGAGCTAATTGAGGAGTCCCTTAGATGGCTTGAAACAATCACCTCAGGCATGGTTTGGTTGATTCAGCAAAGTTCTACATCAGTTTGGGGTGACTAGTTGCTAATCAATTTACATTTTTGTGAGGTTGGTATTATGGAACTCGTAGATTTGATTCATTTGAATGCCTAATGCATAATGATGCATTAACATAGTTAGGTATTGTTAAGAATCCTCAATGGATGAGACATAGTTTAGGTAGACCTAACCCAAATTCAAAGAGGTATGAACCATTATGCACATGCTTATTTCCCTTGTTTATAACTAGCTACCCTGGTGGATTACATACATTCTTCAGCTGTTTATGATCTTTATGTTTCTCTCCTTGCTTCAGGAACATCTGAAGCCTTTATGCATGCAGTTGCAACAGAGAACCAACTCAAGCGTTCAAATGATTCACTACTTGTATTCTCTTTGATCTCTGTGGTTCTGAATGTCCTACTAATAAAGCTATATGGGTCAGTTGGCTTGATCATGGCAAATTCTCTCAGTATCCTTTCCACCTAGATACTTCTGTCTAAACAGATGAATTCTAATGTGGTTGTCACTTCAACCATAATTATTAGCTTATTTGTTTATCCTTCACTCAACTAAAGATATGACTTTGAGGATTTTATATTCTGCAATGTTCATAAAGGATTACTTCAAGGTATGATACCTGGCTTTGATTCGGCCGACCATAATTTGATGCAAATGTTAACATTGGCTTTCATGTTTTATTTTAATTTCTCCACAGGGATCTTCCTCCTTTTCTTTTCGTGGCTGCTTTCCTTCAGGATGGGTTATTCTGTTACTTTCAAGTGTAATCACTCTCGTTTCCGAGAATGTAGTTTTGGACCAAGATAATTTCTGGCCAACATTGATGATCCATTTCTCTGTTGGGCTGGCTTGCTTCTGCGTGTCATCATATGTGATGTATATTCACGATTCCTTTTATTTCGTCTTCTAAGACCTTCTCTTGAATACAATTGTTTATTTTTCGCTTTCCTTGTTAACATACTTTTGTTTTTATCTTTTAGCTATTGCCGGGAAAAACCTTTCATCAAGAAAATTATCCGCTTTCGGGACCACTCGGACTGATGAACTCTGTAAGTTAACTGCGAGGTGAGTTTTTTTTTTCCCTTTGAAACCGCTAATTTGTTAAGATTTATCCTTGGATTTAATAAATTATCAATTTTTTTGCAGATACTCGAAGACGATGAATTACGGATTAGTTTTCTATGGATATGTCCAGAGCTGACAACATAAATTTTGGTACATGCATAATACTACTTGATCCAGATTTTTGTAAATTAAACTTAACTTAATGAATAATAAGTGCATTATAAGTTTCCAATTATCTCATAATGATAATTGAAAATTTGAAAGAAAATAATCATGTAAACACAAACAGTTTATGATTTATGAGTCACTTATTCTGCTAGTGATCCTGTTTAGTGTGTGAGGCAGAAATGTTAAAAGTCAACCAAAATTCCCAAAAAGCAATAACAGTGTGATGAAGGAAAATGGAGAGAAAGCAAGAAAGGTGATGATTCATAATATTGGGTTGGCCTCCAATATCACTAGAAATGACCAAATAATATTTGAAAAGCTTAAAAAAAGTAGAAAAAAAGAGAAAAGAAGAAAAAACAGGAAGCTTATGATTAAAATGTAGACTATGATTAAAAACCAGTATCCAATTAAGAGCGTTCCATTTTCTAAAACAAAATGATGCCATTTGTTGAGTTTTGCTTAAGAGGTTGAATTCCTTGATAGATGGATTTCACACAACTTTTTGGATTTTTGCTTTATATTGCAGATTGCATGTCTGCCTCTTGTACATGTTCAATGAAGAAGATACAAATATGAAGATTCAAATCAATCATAGAATGAAGTTGTTACTAGTTTTTGTTTTAACATAAGACAAAATAAGAGTTATTCTCCGGTCATTATTATTATAAGTAAAAATTCTCTTTTTAAGACTAGATATACTTATTATTCAACGAATCTAAAAAAAGAATATTGTGAAACAGAAAATATAAATATTTGCTTGCAATTATAAAAAAAAATTTCGTTTAAATGCACTTTTGATCTCCTTATGTTGATTTTCTTAACTTTTTAATTTCCTATAAAAAAAATAGCTATTAGGTCTCCCAATCAAATAACGTGAATTTTTTATGTTCTCGGATCATTTATCATTTATTTTAATGATGACACCCTAAGATGATCACTCGTCATTAAAACTAATTTATTATTTATTTTAATTTATAATATAATACTTTATCTTTCAGAAACATTTTAATTAATATTAAGGAATAAATAAATGATTACTTAACTCCAACAAAAAAGGGTTAGTAGTATTTTCAATTCCTCATTCCACCATTTTAGTTCATCACCTTTAAATGAAACCTTAAATTTGTTCAGTTTCAGAATCGAAGAACGTTTGCGAGTGGATGAGAAATGCAAAAGCGTTCAAACAGACCAAACATGACTTCTCACAAAATCGCTTATATCCTAACACGATACTTTTAAAATCACTTATTGAAGCTGATGCTCTCATCTCATACTCACACGACCAATGACTTAGTCTCTCTCAAATTCGCAACTTGTTCGGAAGCTTACGGTGCAGTTTTGCGTCTCAAAAGCTTATGCCAATAAGCACTTTTTCATGCAGCTTTTTGCGGTAAGCTTCAACTCAGATTTGGCTTTGAATTGTTTTAGAATCGTTTGTTTCGTGGTGCTGATTTGCTGATTTTTTAGTTTCCTATACTAATCCTTCACTATTTCATTCATGTAGATTGATTTGGGGTGGGAGTTCAAGAAAAAAACTCTTTTTTGCCCAATGTCAAGTTGGGATTTTAGTTTAAATAAGTGTTTATTCAAGAAGCTATTTCATGACAGTAGTTTAAATAGGTGTTTATTTAAGAAGCTGCTTCATGACAATAACTTAAATTGAGAATACTGCTAACACTTTTTTTTTGTTGGAGTTAAGTAATAATTTATTTATTCCTATATATTAATTAAAATGTTTCTAAAAAATAAAATATTAAAATATAAATTAAAAATGAATAATTAATTAATTTTAATGACGTTGTAAGTGAATGATTAACTCTTAGAGTGTCATGTTATTAAAATAGCTAACAAATGATCAGATATTATACAAAATTAGACTATACAAAATTCACATTATTTAATATTAGAAGACCTAATAATTTGTTTTTTTATAGGGGACTAAAAAATTAGAAAAATCAATATAGAAAGATCAAAAATGCATTTAAGTCTAAAATTTTTAAAGCATAATCAATGAAAATTGAAAGATTGTGGATCCAATTTTCTCTATATATGCAAAAATATATTTAGTGAATAATAATTTTTTTTTTTAATTTAGTTAAAAATTATATATACATATACATATATATATATATATATATATATATATATATATATATATATATATATATATATATATATATATATATATATATATATATATATATATATATATATATATATATATATATATATATATATATATATATATATATATATATATATATATATATATATATATATATATATGAATTTATTTTTATGTTGATTTTGTCAGAGTTTAGTTATTTTTCTTTTATTTTATAGTTCTTTTAACTTATATAGAAAAGTATGGAAATTAGTGTTGATTTAGATAGTAAATTTCATAAAATATTTTAAAAATGATATTATAATAATATTATATTTTTAATCATGAAGATCAATAAATTCAAAGGGATATATCACATTTTATTGAAATAGTACCATCATTCCTATTTTTAATTATTGGAAAGAGATTAGCTATTTTTTCATATAGTGCATATAACAACACTAAATAACAGGTATATTTTTTTAATTTTGATTAGAAATTTTGAATTTGAATAAAAATATATTATCATTTATCTTTACATTAAGTTATTAAAAAATAGTAACATTTATCTATACATCTTAAATAAATGATGCCTTAAGGATTATTTCGCCTGAAATTACAATGAAATGTCTAGACTTAGTCAAGAGCAGGCGCAATGGCAGATTTTGCCTTAAATAATACAGGGGACTGTAAGTATTAGTATAAGCTTAAATAGTTTTTTAGTTTTTGTAAGTTGACGTCTTATTGATTTTTGTCCTATATCTTATTTTTTTTGGAAATGATATCTGAATGTTAATTTTTTTTTTTTTTAGTTTTTAAAGTTAAAATTCGCAAGAAAATCTGCAAGATTCTTTTAGATTTTTCTTTGATTTTTTCTATCGATTTTATTTTTAGAGAGTAAAAACAAAAAAGAAAATTAACATTCAAAGATCATTTCCAAGAAAAAAAAATACACGGATGAAAATAAAAAAAACATGTCAACTTATATGGATTAAAAAAACTATTTATATCTATAAATATTATAATCAAAATTTACAATATATATATATATATATATATATATATATATATATATATATATATATATATATTGATATTAATTGATATTATCAATATAATAATTATAATAAATAAAGAGTAATATTTTATATACCCAGAGGAGGTGTGCGCCAGAGGTCATGTGGAAGATCAAGACATAGATTGAAAAACAAGTTTATAAGACCTGTCAAATACGTCGAATGGCTAGCAAACATCATTCTAGTGATTAAAAAGAATGACACTCTTAGAGTTTATATTGTAGAGGAAGATGTGTCCAAAATAGAGTTTTGATTCTCTAGGGCCTTAGGCATGTATGAATGAGTGATGACGTCTTTTGGTCTAAAAAACGCTGGTGCAATGAACTCAATATTTCATGACTTTATTGAAATTTTTATGCATGTTTATATAAATGACATAGTCATCAAATTTTCATCAGAAAATAGTCACTTGGACCACCTTCAATAGTCCTTTGAAAAGATGAAGAAATATGGACTTAAGATGAATCTATTAAAGTGTGCTTTTTGTGTCACGATTTTCTTGGCTTCGTGGTCCATAAGAAAGACATCAAAATAAACTTGAATAAGATTAAGGATATACTCAACACAAAGCCTATGAAGACTAAAAAGAAACTCCAGTCTCTATTTAGGAAGATAAATTTTCGGAGGAGGTCTATATCAAATCTAAGTGGCAAGATAAAAGTTTTTTCGTCATTGATGCGTCTAAAGAAAGAGGAATGATTTAGATGGGAACTAGAACATCAAAAAGCATTTGATGAAATCAAGATGTACCTTCGAAACCTCATATATTTTTACCTCCGTAAGAGAAAAAGTAATGAAATTATATATCTCTGCATCAAATTCGACAGGCAGTGTATTAGCCTAGAAAGATGATGATGGCATCGAAAGAGTCATATATTATCTTAGTTGATAATTGAACAATGCGGAAACTAGGTATAGCTTAATAGAGAATTTGTGCCTTTCATTGTATATCTCTTACACTTAACTGAAGTATTATATAATATCAATTGACGTATTTGTTTACTCGCATTTCCATATTATAAACCATATGTTGTTGAAACCCATCCTACATAGTAGAATTCTAGATTGCAACCTAACTAACTATGGAGTCCCTTTGCCTCCTGGGCTTTTTAAGAGGAAGATGATGAAACCCATTAGCTTTTTTCTTATTTTCTTGTTGTTTGTTTATTGTCCGCTTCGTTTACCTATTTTTCCCTTTATAACTCTTTCATTTAGGAATGATTAATTTTTGGATTAAATGTTTCATAACTTTTTTTTCTTTATTTTAATCAATATTTTCCTTTAAAATGTTAGTTTGCTTCTAGGTTTAAAATATATCATGTGCTTGTGTTGTTTATTTTCCAGCCTTTTGTATAATGCTAAAGGGGAACAAATATACTCTCATGGAGAGTAGATTATAATCTCTTTATCTGTGAGGGGGAGTTTAACCAATCTAAATATTTATCTATACTTTTCTATCTTTACCACCTCTATGAGAGAGTGTTTTCATCATCAAACAGGGGGACAATGCGAACCTATTTCTTTTATAGGTATAAACATCTGTTAGTTTTGATAAAGACAACAAATAACTTTTAAGGGGTTTTTAAAGATGATAACTCCATAAGTCAAAAGTTTGTTTTAGGATGATACTAGCTCTTATCAATATCTCTTTGTGACAACTCTCATAAGGGGAGTTGATACCAATTTTCCAATAATTCCCGATGATGGCGTCTCAAGCTTCATTAATGAGATGATTCAATATAAATCTTAAGTGTTAATCAATCATAGAACCAAAAGGGGAAATTTGAATTCTGAAAGTGGGAAATATGGAAACTCTCTTTGTCATGTTCTTAGCGTTTTAGAGCGATGATTTTAAATTGTAAAAGGACAAGAGTATGTCTTGAAGTGCTAAGATAATCACAAACTCTCACACACACACAAATACTTTTGAAACCCTTCTAATTTTGTTAAACTTATAAAAATCATGAAGGCATGTATGGAAATGATTAAAAAGTGTTCCAAATCAATTAGAAAAGATAACTCACTACTTAAATCGATTAAGAACTTTGTATAATTGATTTAAAGCAATGAGAATGACATACTAATCAATTAGAAAAGCCATTAATCGATTAAATCATATAGCCATTTACAGGTTTTCTTTTCTATATTAGATTTTTGGATTTTTGAAGTGTTTTAATCGATTAAAAGATTATTTAATAGTCGAGTTGTCAGAGCTATAATAGGGTTGTATTGATGTAGTCTATAGATCCCATGAGTGGTATGTTA